AAAGCAATCCACGAATCTTGATTCTTCAATAGTCTTCAAACACGGGCTCTAGGATATATAAATCAAGCACTGAAGTAATGTCTTTAAACTTCATTTTTGAGTGTAATCCCAAAGAATCTTCATGAAAACCAAACCCGCCATAAAAACCCATTTCAGAACAAAGAAACTGAATCACTTCTTGTCTTTGAAGAGCTCCCCCTCCAAGTCACAATGATCTTCAAATAAGCTAATGATATAAGCCATCAAAAAATATCATGTAACAACCCAAACTTTAAGAATCGTAACGCCACTGGATCGAGAAAATACAAGAAGTCGGAGATATAACAAGTCCTTAGCAGAGCTCGATAAAGAACTTCCGCTGTAAAGGATACTTCTCTGTAAAAGCTTTAGCAGAGCTCGATGAAAAATTCCACTATAAAAGCTACCTTCATAATTCTACCACAAGCTTTATCAAAAATCTTCAACTTTGAAAAGTCACAAATCCAATTTCGAATGACCATACCAAATTCTCCCCCGATTTATAATCAAAAACATGATTATAAAGCCTTCAAATGGTCATGAGACTGATCTTGAAAGGATAAAAAATTTACTAAGCTCCCCCGCGACAAAATGATATATACAATGAAGTATAAAATCCGAAAAAATCGTAAAAAATTGACGTTATCACGAAAAATGACTTTCCGAACCGCCAAGACTTGATGGAATCTTTATTTTTCTGTTCACGAAAAAAAATATGTGCGTTAAAAAATCCAAAACTGTTCACCGGCCCTCAAATTTGCAAACTTTTCGAAAAATGGGCTGAAAGTGTCACTTTTCTGAAATTCTAGGACTGAAAATGTAACTTTGCATGAATTTCCCTTTTAAATGTAACAATTTCTGGAATTTATACATAATAGCCAAGTTGTGAAAACAATAGGGACCAAAAGTGTCCATTCTCTGAAGTTGCAGGGGCCAAGAATGTAACATTATGTCTTCATCCCCAATATATGATATATCGACTGATTAAAAGAATTGAACGGCAACTGTAAACAATCGCTCGCATACGAACCACAGATACAATACCGATCATCCAATAACATCGTTCGACCCTTTCATTTTCTTCTTTACGTTCGTGTCCGAGTCCAATAGTGCCACCGTTCATTCCAAGTACACCCAAATTGAATCTCGGCAACCGGAAGCGAATCTCAGGTTCGCTTCAAATGTTAGCGTCTATGACCTTCGCTTCTATGAGTTTCGTTTGTGATTGTAAGGTTCGTTTCTTGTTGATTACACACCCAAAAAGCGAACGTTCGGTTCTATTCAGTTCCAAGCATAATCACGCAAACCCAAGTTCATTCCAAGTCCTTCGAATACACTGACCATCTGTAAGTTGCGAATCAAGGCAACCCTGAAACCCCCAAAACCGTGATCTCTCGCTCAGACTCCGATGATCACAAACCCAATACGAACCACTGTCGACGAACAATATGAGTGCAAGTAAAAAAAAATGAGCTTTGATCGTTTGCAGGGTAATGGTTTTCACAACAATCTGACTCTCATTCGTTTGTTCTGATTGTATTAAGCCCCGAATGTAAAACCCATTTGGCGATTGAGAACCTGATTCCAATTTGATTTTAGATCAACAACCCACTGTTCTCCGTTTATATGAGTCGATTTTGACTTTTGTTTCTTGGACCATTAAGACTGATAAATGCCAAAATTGACATCCCCAGATCAATACAATCACGATAGATAACCGAGAATCCGAGAGCAAATCGATTCGGTCTACGCATTCGATTGCACTCATAGATGAGAGCATCGTTCACAGATTAGTAATTCCAATTTTGACTTTTCTATTTTGACCATCTAAATCAAGAAACAACGTTGTTCATCCATTCATCATTAGACATCGAGATTCGCATTCAATCAAACTTCCAATCGATTCTCCAAAGATCGATTTTTCTCACAGTTAGAACAATATCATCATAAGTTTTCCAATTTCAACATAAATCAAATTAATCGGAAAATCAAATCGATTATATGAATAGGAATAGGAAAATCGATTAAATAAATTTGACCATGGATTACAACTGAAAAGAATCGATTGATGAACTTCACGATAACAACCAATAACCAATATTCATCGATTTTGATCAAGAAGACAATGAGAAATCGACTAGATGAAGGAATGATGTACAACGCAAATGACAAACGCACGTTCCAGAGACCCAAAAAGAAAACAAATAGGACAAAAGATGATGGATAGGAACAGTAAAGGATCCATTATTTGGGCAAGATTAAAGCAATAGAAAAATACCCGATGAACAGTAACAGACTTCTCCATGAACAGTTTTGATTTCAACATGGCAATACACCAATAATCTTCAATAACTTGTGCAGAAAATCATCAAATCACGAACCGATACTTTAAAAATCAATAGATTTTCAAAGACCCGCTCTGATACCACTTGTTGGGATTAAAACCCTAATTAAGATTTGATGAACAAGATGCGGAAAATAAGAACAAACACAAATATGAAGATTATGTCGAATGATAACAAATTACACTTAAGAAAATAAGAATCTAACTCTACAAGAAACCTCACAATGTGGCGGCTACATTTTGCCTCACTCTTAACCCTAATTGTGAATAATACATGACTATTTATAGGGAAAAGACAAGTCTTGGGCTTTTAACCTAGAATTCGTCACAGGGGCCCATTGCCATCATCCATGGAGTGCTTTGAAACCCTACACCATCAAATTGCCTCAGGTTGATTGCCAGATATGATCACATCATCAACATATACAAGCATGTGAATATGTCTTTCACCATGAACATAAGTAAACAAGGAGTAATCTGAATAGGATTGTCGAAATCCATAGTTCTTTAGAGTCGTAGCCAGCTTTGCAAACCAACATCGTGGGGCTTGCTTGAGGCCGTATAAGGACTTGAGAAGACGACAAACAAGATTGGGGTTGGAAGGTTTGAAACCTGGTGGTGGTTTCATATAAACTTCCTCATGGAGATTACCGTGTAGAAATGCATTGTGTACATCCATTTGATGCAGCTCCCAATTTTTAGACGCCACGACGGCGAGGAAAACATGAACAATGGTCATTTTGGCAACAAGAGCAAAATTTTCGGTGTAATAGTCTCCTGCTTCTTGGTGATTACCGTAGAATACTAGACAAGATTTGATTCTTTCAACCTCCCTATTTGAAAAGTACTTTATTTTATACACCCACTGGCTACATAATGCATTTTTTCGATAAGGCAATGGTTCGAGTGTCCAAGTACCATTATCTTCTAGAGCACGAATTTCTTTATGCATGAAAGCTTTCCAACCTTCATGTTTGATGACTTCCTTGAAGGATCTTGGTTCTATTCCTACGGTGACGTCTGCAATAAAGTTTCGATATCTAGGAGAAAAATTATCACAGTTTATATTGTGTAATAGGATAAGGCTTACCGGAAAACTGTGGAAGAGGTGTAGCAAGGGACGGACTTTGGTTAGAAGTAGTATGAGTGACAAAATCTTTTAGCAAAATTGAAGAGAATTTCTCGCTCTGGTCTCATCCCATTTGTGGTGCAGAATCAGGTTGCGGATCTGGTGCAAGATCTGGAGGAGCTGATGAGTTAGGAGCTTGTTGTTCATGGCCTTGTTTTACATGGGTCGGCTGTTCATCATCAATGAGGATGTCGTGGTAGGATGGGCTCCTTTCAGCCATAGTATCATCTTCATTGTTTGCTATATCTTGCATATCTACGTATGGAAAGATATCTTCGAAGAACTTAACATCACGAGAAACAAAAAATTCCCAAGTATCCAAATCAAATAATTTCCTTCTTTTCTTTCCAAATGGGTATCCCACAAAGATACACTTCCTACTTCGACTACTAAATTTGTCCCTCTTGGCTTGTTGGTTATATGCGAAACAGAGACACCCAAATGTTTTGAGAGTGTCATAAGAGGGCAAAGTGGCATATAAAACCTCATAAGGTGTTTGTGAATGTAAGATGGTAGATGGGGTTCGATTGATCAAGTGGGCAGCACAAAGAACCGCTTCTTCTTGTATCTCCATGGCACCTGGATGCTGGTTTCCACCACACCTTGCCAGTATGGAGATTTTTTCCTAAAGTTTCTAAAATGTCGTTAGTATTTAAAACTAAGTTTCACATTTGCTCCACCAGTAAATTTCATTTTTTTCTCCATTGCGACTTTTTGATTTGTGTTTTACCTTCTACTGGTTACACGGGTTATCTTTATTTTAAGTGTTTATTCTACCATTAAACTGACTAGATAACTATGCATAAGATTTTTTTTTTGTCGTTTATGAGAATCTTATGTTATTACGTAAATGTAAAATTATTATAGATTATAATATAAATTTATAATTTTTCATAAAAACTTTTGAAAATATAACAAGAAGACTCATTAAATATTTAATATCATTAGCATTCAGTTTTTTCATCATCGTGGCCAATACTAACATATTATTAGATTAATAACCTAATTTACTTGCTTCTTGAACATGTTTAATTAATAAAGAAAATAGAGGAAAATACAATTTTAATCCCTAAGTATAGTGAAATTTTAGAATTTTGGGCCTCATTTGAAGTTCTTGTAATGTTTTTGGTCCCTATTCCTAGTAAAAACAACATTTTTAGGTCTATGGTTAAAATTGATTTTTGCGATTATTTCCCATTAATGGAACTCGAAACAAGGACCAAAACCATTACAAAAATCACACATACCAAAATTTCATCAAAAAAACTTTGTGGGACCAAAATTGAAGAAATCAAGATTACTCAAGACCATGAATGTAATTGACTCCAGAAAATAATATACAATGTACAAGCATTGATGCATTTATATGAATAACTAAAAGAACAATAACTGAAAATTTATATGATTATTATTCCTTATGTTATAGAATAATCTGTGGTATGTAGTGACTGGATTGTCAAAGTTTGTCACTATTTGGTGACATTATTACTTAAACAAATGTGAAAGTTAAGGGGATAAATATTGTGTAAAAGAAGCATTATTACCTAATGGAAAACTGAAGAGGATGATTCTTTACAAATCCATCAAAAAGAGTGATCACTTCTTCAAGATCTTTAGCCCGAAGAACAAATGCCTCAACATTTATTAAACATTTCACCGTCCTTACGCAATCTGTTTCCTTGTTTTCTCTTGTTTCTTTTATCTGGAAAAAATATTTAAAAGTTTAATATTCACCAAATTAGAAATGAAGTAAAAAGTAGGTTGCTATTTTTTGACATTTAACCATCCTTAACTAGTTTAACTATACCTTCAAGGCACCATTTGAGAAGTTCTTCACCAAGTACATCACCCTCCAACAATGAAACTTTATTATTCCCATTGTTTTAATGCTTTCCATTTTTCTCTTACAATAAAAGTCATGTTTGTTACAAACCCTCCTTCATATAAGATTGTGTTTTACTTGATGTAAGTCTTTTTCTTTAATCTCTCACGTATTGCATCTAAAGTTGGTTCATCCAGAAGTGCAAATTTTTTGACATGCAAGTTGTAATGTAGATGTAACAAATAGAAACACACTTCATTGATTTGTTTCGTATAGCACTTACTTTCATTTTTCCTATGTTAATACTACACTTCAAAAAAAATACACCCAATAATAGCAATGTCACTAAAAAAACAAAAGACTGTTCACATTTTGATAGAGTTTTCAAAGTACAACATTGTAATATGAAAAATATTTAAAGTATAATTGGGTAGAAGAAACAAATTACAGTACTATAATTGGGTACTTTGCTTTTTCAAAGTTGAGATATAGTTTTGGGGGCTAAATGCAAGAAGTAACGATGTACTTTCTATGTAATCATAACCATCAATAGATAAGACGAGTGCAGGTCCCAATAAATCGTAGAGAATCATATCTAGAATATGAAAAGATCGTTTTTTGATTAGCATAGAAGGGTAATTTATGACTTTTAGCAAACTAACAGGAGGTGCAAATCCCTGCTTTAGGTGAAATAGAAGTACCAAAAAATAAGCAAGTTTATGTAGTAATTAAATACTATAAAATTAAATGTTTCCTAAACGATTATGCTAGAGTTCATATGCTGCATGTGACTTGCTTTGAATTCAGTTGAGCAAACGCCTGATGACCAAGTTCGAGGACATAAAACATCAAGTGGTGAATTTAGTTCAACACAACTTGTTGCTAACACCTCCTTGGTTAGTCGTTTCTGAATTGAAATTTTGTGATTAGAGAATAAAACATCAAGTGGTGAATCAGATGTTAACTTGCTAATAGAGAGAATATTTTTTTGTTAATTTTTGTAAAACAAGGACATCTGCCAAATCAATATCTTTAGTGAGAGATGTATTACCCAACACGAGTGATCTTCAGAATATTATGATTTCCAAAAACAACATGCTCATCTCCTATATATGGAGTGGAGGAAGTTAAATTAGAAGTCGATGGTGTCGACATACCAATCTGTAGAAGTGTCATTGAAGTTACACTTGGCATGAAAGGTATGGGCTAGATTAGCATCAATGGAGGGTCCTCGATGGGAAAAGGTGGTTAGGTCCGAATATTGAGTTGCATATTGATCATCTTTCCTGCATAATTATTAGTGTAAGGATCGACGCCAATGAATACAACCTCCAGAACGACCACCTCGACCACCACAGCAAGATCCTCTAATTGAGGATGCAGGGGAGCGAGATGGATGAGCAGTGAATGCAATTGGGGAAGAAGTAGAACCATGATCAAATTTTAAAAATAATTCATCGCTTTCATATCGAGAAGAAGGTCACAAAAGGATGGTAGTGGTTTGAGAGCTCTTTGCACTGTAGAGAAAGTCTCGTAGGAAGGGCCAAGACTGCATAGGAACCCAAGACTTTTATTTGTTTCTTCCATTGGTTAGCCAATGGATGCAAGCTAATCACATAAACTTTTAATTTTTTTGCATATTTAGAGATAAAAGATGAACCTTTTTGTAATTGGCGAAAGGAATTTCGGAGATTTTCATACGTTCAATAGAATCGTGATAGTATGTGGCTTCAAGAGTGGTCTAGACATCTAAAACATTTCGAGCAGTATGTAGTCCAAGGATCTCCACAATAGCTTCTTCTATAAGCGATGCTTGAAGAATTAATGTGACATCCTTAAAAGTTCATAAAAATTTAAAACTTTTTAAGTATCCAAAACCATTACTTATTACAAAATGTTTTCAAAATAGTTTCATATCAGAGTATCACAAAAATCAAAATCATAAAATGTGAGGAGGTGCACGATGAAGCCTTCACCTTCCTGCGATCATCTGAAGTTCCTGAATCAAAATCCAAAACTGTCATTACAAGGATAAGCACCTATAGGGATGACATTTGTCGTCACTATAGGCTACCTATAGGGACGACATGTCGTCGCCAAAGAGTTGACGAATTTTTTTGAATTTTGAAGCTACAGAAACGCCTTGTCGTCTAAACATGTTAAGCGGTAAAGGAAATGGATTTGGCGCGTTCTTGAAACACCTATGGCGACTACTTATCGCTCTAACAAATAAGAAAAATTAAAAATAATTTTTTTTAATAATTTGACGGAAATAAAATTAGGACGTCGTTTTGGGGATAGCTATAGGGACGACCTCCCCATAGCTTTCTACGCCTGAAATTAGGAGAGAACTTCGTTTAATTCACGCATGCTTAATCATCAATATCACTCTCTCTTGATCGATCGATCGACAATTCTCCCCTGGCGACTTCCTCACGTCCCACTCCTTCTAAATCTTCTACCTCTCTCTCGATCCTCATGCTTGTTGTCGAACACCACCGGCGATTAGCTTCAATAATTCTAACTACCGACTCCATTTTCACCTCCGATTACAAATTCTAACAAATACAAGCCCACTCTGGCGACCTAGGTTAGTAATTCTCTGTTTGGAAGTGGAATTGGGGTTTATGTTAGCAATTACGTGTTTGAAACTAGAATTGTGATTTTCTATGGTTTCACAGTTTTTCGTTTTGAAGATGCAATACTGATAAACTGTAACCACATCAACGATTTTTCTGCTGATTTTCCTTCTAGTTGTTCGTTATTCAAGCTTGGAGTATTGATTTATCTGTAGATTTTGGTTATGTGATTAAAATATATTTTTTTCACCGAGATATGTTTTCAGCACTAATCACTATCATGACAACCTGTAACAGGAATTAAGAACTTAAAACATACCTCATAATTGGATAAGATTCTCTTTCTCTATTCATTGTGCTTCTTGACCTGTTGAAAGTAATGAAAATGATGATCAGTAATTGATATAGACTTTAACATATAAAATAAAGTCAATTAATATATTCACGGTTAGGATTATGAAATTTTGTCCATTAAGGAAGAATTTCTTTTGTATTTCATTCGTTATAATGGTTAATATTTAGGATTTTTTCTATATAGGGAAGGATTAATGATATGGACATGCATCAGTAGTAACCTAGTATAGGACTTAGAGATGATTGTAGGTTACTAACTCATATGAAGAAACCGGTGCAAGCAACTGATTTTTGTAGAACTGTTACTGATATACTAACTGATTGTGTTGTATATCGAATGGTATTCTTAACTTCCATAAGAACGGTCCTCTGAATTTCTAGAAGATGGTGTTACATGATCAACATTTGTAAGAAGAATAACAATTTTTCAGAAGTTTGATAGATATGATTTGTTAATTTTTTATTGTGTTTGATTGGTAACTGAGCAGGTTATTTGAAGAAAATCAGTTAACAGGCACAATTCCATTGACACTAGGACTTTTTCAAAATCTTGAGGTCTTATGAGTCATTAGTTATTATGATTTTTTATAAAAACTAAATGAAATATATCATATTTTTTTCATCTAAAAGTTTGGTTGTGTATGAATTATGAAACAAACGATTAGACAGGAATTTATTAAGTGGTGATGTCCCTTAATTTTATAAATATATCAAAAAAATGTAATTATTATAAATATATCATTAATTTTATCATTGCAGGGATACAAGCAAAAATTCTTCTCAACCATCAAAGATTCCTCCATGGCTTTTCCTCTTTACAGTCTCTAACAACATAGTACATCTATCTATCTATCTATCTATCTATCTATCTATCTATCTATCTATCTCTCATACACACACACACACATAACATTGTAAAATTTTCTAACTAAATACTTGTTTTGACTTTTGATATGTTTAAATTACTAATTGTTGGTTAAAGTACCTATTGACTTATTTAGCATACACCAAATCGAGACTGTGAGAGGACATCTTCGTAATTTTTGCAGCATAAATACCAACAACATAACTTTTTGCAGCAACCATAAGGTGTAATTTCCTCATGTAATATCTCTGTTGCACATTGGTAGTTGATCAATTCTTCAATAGAATTTTTGTTGGGGTTGGAAAACTCTTCTATTTTACACTAAAATTGAATTACAATAGGAGGAGAAACTCTCACACTCAACTATTACAAAAACCAACCCTCTTACTAACACTCTCACTCTAAGTGTTATACTTTCTGTTTCTCTATGTTTGGCATGCATCTCAACTGAAGATGAAGCCTCTATTTATACCCATGGCAGCCACCATTTGTGCAACCTTCATTAATCGTGTTCATCATAGGGTGGGAAGAAAACCTTGTTGCATAGGTTTCATTTTGTCAATAATGATGGCTGCTGTAGCTTTTGGGTCTTTGGAGGTTGGAACACAACAAATCTCCCCCTCGAGTCTCCATCCAACAATCCTCATCCCAACTATGTCAGCACATAGTTTGTGTTTCTCTTGTGTCACCACCTTAGTCAATATGTCTGCAGGATTGTTATTGGTGTTGATCTTTAACAACTTCAATTCTCATCCCTCAATTGCTTCTCTAAGCCAGTGATAACGAATATCAATATGTTTTGTGCGGGAATGGTACATCGAGTTCTTACTCAGATCCATAGAACTCTGACTATCGCAATGAATGATGTACTCTTCTTATGAAAAAACTAATTCTTTAAGAAACTATTTCATACATATAAGCTACTTCCCAACTTCAACGGCAACAATATACTCGTATTCTGTTGTTGACAGTGCGACACACTTCTTTAACTTGGATTGCCACGAGATAGCTCCCCCTGCCAAAGTAAAAACGTAACTTGATGTAGATTTCCTATTATCAAGTTCTCCTGACATATCGGTATCTATATAACCTTCCACGATTGGCTTTGCTCCCCCGTAGCATAAACATAGTTTCAAACTACCCATCTGGTATCGAAGTATCCATTTGACTGGTTCCCAATGTTGTTTTCCTGGATTAGCTAGATATTTACTCACAACACTGACAAC